AACACCCATTTGTTCTCCTTGATTTGTTTATTTATTTATTTCAGAAAAAGAAACACCGGAAGCACAAACACAAAGGCAAGCAAAAGAATAAAAAGTCAGAGAAAAGTAGTAGTTCCGAGAGTACGAACAGCAGTGACAGCCAGAGCGATGAAGAAGGGGCCGCAGACCTGTCACCCCAGGAGCTGCTGAGACGGTGGGCGATAGGAGACAGTAGGCTTTCAGAAACCCTCAGAGGCTCGTTGAAACCTTGCTGTGTTTGCATAGAGAGAAATGTCAGAAATGATAAATTTGTGCTTTTAACTCGTTTTTTAAAAAGTTAACTTTAATTGCATAAGTAATACGTAAATATATTATCATTGTGAAAATTCAGATCTTACAGATAAGGCTTGAAGTGGCCCGTGACCAATTCCCCAAATCTCTCTTCTCTCCACAGTAACCTCTGTCATCTGTTGCTTTGTAACTCTGAAGACTTTTTTGCACAGCCACACACACACACACACACACACACACACACACACACACACACACACACAGAGGTACATGTGCATTTTGTTGCACGTTTTTAATATAAATAATATAACTTTATGTAGCATAAATCTAGAGGAAATGAACATTTAGAAGGAATAAATATCACCTAATTGTTTCCACAAGTGGCTCTATCCATTTAAATTAGGAAAGCACCTTGTTATTACGTCAGTTACAAACAGCACAGAGATGTTTGCCAGCCTGATGGGTGAAGAATGGCATGTCATCTTCGTTGCATTTCCTGAATCAGTAATGAGGCTGAGCAGCTTTTCCTGTGTGTCTCAGCCTTTGCCATGGGCTCTTTTGTGAATAATGTGCTCCTGTCCTTTGCACAATATTCTGTTTTCTGTTAGATTTTTATACTGGTTTTTAGGTACTGTTTTTACTGCTTTTTAGGAATTTAAAAATAATTCTGGATAGTAATCCTTTGTGTTTTAGAGTGTTACCTGTTATATGACTTTTAACAATCTTTGTTGAACAGAAACTTTAGTTTTGGGAACACTCAGTTTTACAAATTTTTGTGTTGTTGTTGGTATGTTTTACATTTTGTCTTTTTAAGGCCTTCCCTAATGTAAGGTTTTGTATATATATATAGACTATTCTCATGCTTTTGTAGTTTTGTTTTGGTTTAACCTATTTGAATTGTTTTATTTTCCTTTTTTTGTGTGTGAACAGAGTAGGGTAGGCATCCAACTTACCTTTCTCCAGATAGATGGCCGGTTGTATTAGTGAGAGTGAGTAGGCGAGCTGCGATGAAAAGAAACCCTCTCAACCCACTGGCACAGCACAGTGGAGCATAAGTTAAATTGAGAAAGTTACTCAGGATCCCAGTTTGTTCCGCTCTAGAATGTGACCCTCAGAGGAGCCGAGGGGAACGGGTTGGAGGATGGTCTTGGAGGTTGTTATGGTCCTGCCTGGAAGTCGCTGTCTTCCCTTCCCCTCCAGCCCCCTGGCCAGAGCAGCTGGGTGGCCCTGCCCGGCCAGCACGGGACCAGGTAGGGCAAGTCCAGTCGTGGGCCCAGGGTGACGGGGGACATGGCAGGCGCAAGCCCTGGCCACTCGGCCCCACCGGTGCTCTGGGCTGTTAAGGGAGGTGTAGCTTGATCAGATTCTAAATGCCTGTGCCCATGTGGATCGGTTCCTGGATTCTCTGTTCTGGTTTCTTAGCCATTTTTTTTTTTTTTTTGCGGTACGCAGGCCTCTCACTGTTGTGGCCTCTCCCGTTGCGGAGCACAGGCTCCGGACGCGCAGGCCCAGCAGCCATGGCTCACGGGCCCAGCTGCTCTGCGGCATGTGGGATCTTCCCGGACCAGGGCACGAATCCGTGTCCCCTGCATCGGCAGGCGGACTCTCAACCACTGCGCCACCAGGGAAGCCCCCAGTTTTCTATTTTTTCATCCGCCCTCTTTTAATTACTCTGGCCTTATAGTATATTTTGCCATCTGGAAAGACAAGTGCCGCTGCCTTGTCCTTTTTCATTTATTTCTTTAGAATGGACAGGACCTTCTCATGGTTCAGAAACAATACGGATATGAGCATTTCAGTTTAATCCAGAGCCCCCTGAAGCGGCTGTGTTGATTCATGTTTCCCTTTCCTCATGGCATGTGCCAGTGGTGATAGGGACGGGCCAGGCACTGTGAGGCACACCATGGGTGTGGGCTCGTTTAATCCTCACATAAGGCTGTGACTTGTGTCCCCTCCTCTCACAGGCGGGGAAAGCAAGGCCCAGGGAGGCCCACTGACCCTCACCAACACCTGATATTTTCGCCCTTGACCGTTTGGGGCCATGTGATGAGTCATTCCTGCGGGGAGGCATTTGCGCTTGCACACGTGGAAGCCCCTCAGTGCCCATCGGGAGGGTGTGGGCTGAGCACAGCAGTCAGAAAATGTGGGCAGGTAGCTGTGTGCTGACTTGCGTCTAAAACTTAACCATTTAGAGACCAGAAGCTGCAGAACAGCGTATATGCCTGGTACTGTTGTCACCAGGCCTTTGGATTTCCCCGCATGCACATGTATGTACATCCTTGCATAGAAAAGGGCTGGAGGGGTTCTTACACCCCTGAGAGCACTTATCTCTGAGGCGGGGGACTGGGATAGAGGGAATGCAGCGTCTGAGGTGTGACATGTATTTAAATATTACTCTCGTGGTTGCTAAAGGTATAGTTTCCATAGCCCCTCACCCCTAAGCTTCCTAGGTTCTCCCCAGGGAGCCTGGAGGGGGCCCTCTCCATCTTTTGTGCCTCACTCCACTCTGTGTATTACCTGTCTGCATCTGTCTCCTGCAAGGGGCATTTTGAGGGTCACGACCACATGGGTCTTACTTGCATCCCCAGCGCCTGGCTGAGGTCTCACTCTTGTCAAGGGCCCCTGCTGCTTTCCTTCAGTGACAGCACAGCCTAGTTCTGGATGGACTTGCAGTCTGCCCCCTCCATCCCCTCCCCAGGAGACACTGATCTTCCTGCTGTCCCTGTAAGTTAGCTTTGCCCATTCTAGAATTTCACAGACGTGGAAACATACAGTTAATTACACTCTTTAGTGCATTCACACTGTAAGTTCCCAGCTCCGTGCGTGTTCACTCCCTGAACATACCTAGAGCAAGGAATAAACCAGCACTCCAGAAGCCCCTCCCACTTAGCATCCCCACCCCCGCCCCCCAGAGGTAACCACTCTGGCTTCTGTCACCGCTGATCACTCTTGCCTGTGTTTCACATTTATTTAAGGGACCCATGTACTATGAACTCTTGCATCTGGCTTGTGAGATTCCTCTGTATTGGTGTAGCAGCAGCTGGTTCGTTCTCATTGCCATAGAGTATTCCTTTATGGGATACACCGCAGAGTATTCATCTGTTCCGTTGTTGGGGGCATTTGGTTTTCCACTTAGGGGCTATAGAGCGCGAATCTGGAGTCATTGTGACCCAGCTCTTCTTGATGAGTAGAGCCACCGTGAACATTCTTGTGTGCACGAAGCTGAGATTTAAGACTAACGGCTCAGGAGCTTTTGGCCCTGGAGCAAACATGGTTTTGTTTTTTGTTTTTTTAGTTCCTTCCAAAGGTCATACAGGAGATAGGTGTGTGCAACCAGGATTGGAACTTGCTTTTATAAATGGGTCTTAATATGAGGTGTGGAGGAGTGAGTCTCTCTGTGTGTCTTGGGGGGAACAGAATCTTAAGAGTGCGGATTAAACGGTACTTTCTTTCATGGTGTGGGTCATCCTCTGTATTTTGTGCCACTTTGGCTCAGGGAGAGGCCTGGCATTCTTCTCCCCTGCTGAACTGTCTGGTTTTTCTGTTTGTATCTAACTTTCCTCCTCTCTCTCTTTTATTTCCTTTTCTAGGCTGAAGCGTCTTCCACTAAGAAGGCAGTAATTGAATTCTGCCCTGGCCTGTCCCAGTACCAGATCTCCTCCAGGATGGAAGTTCATTGGTCACTCAGTTAATAGATTGTACAGATTGTATTTATATGTAAATTTTTGCTGTAAAATAATTTTTTTTTAAAACCTTGACATTTCAAAGCTTGCCTTGGAAGGTTGCTGAAATTTCTATTTTTAACTTCTTTTAGTGTCAGAGGAAAAAACTCAGACTGTACAGTTTAATTAAAATGAAATTTTTCTGTTTTTTTCTTGATTTTTCATTTCCTGAAACTTTAAAAAAGAAATGAAAAGCAAAGGCTTTTCTCTGGTTTTGTTGTGAAGAAAGCCAGGTTCAGATAAGGACAGCCTGACTTACTTAAGGACCCGTGTGGGAGGGAGGTGGTCGCTTTCGCATGTTTTCCTGGGGAGTGTGGTTCCTCCCTCGTGGTTGGTGCTGGTGGCCAGGAGCCAAGTGGGCAGCACAGTACCAGGATGCTGGCAGGTGGCCTCAGCCTCTCGGGGTAGATGCCACCAAAGTGTCTGAGAAAAGCACTGGGACCAAGAGTGGAAGAGTGCGCCCACACCCTGGGTCACACAAGCTCCAGGTCTTTGCACTGCAGCCCTGGGTCCCTGCGCTGAGGCTGCCTCATCTGCCCAGATGAGACCTTTAGAAAAAGTAGAGTGCAGAGGTTTTTTTCTATTATCAAAGTAACATCGTAGAAAAATCAGAATTGTAAAAGGAGGAAGAAGGAAGAAAATCATTTCTACTTCTACCTGCCAGGGTTGACAACCCTTGCTCTTTTGTTGTAATTCCATGCAGTCATTTTCTAGCATTGAGTCTGCCCCCGGACAAGACGTGACTTTTTTTTTTTTTAAGTGTTTTTTTAAAAATTAATTAATTAATCTATTTTTGGCTGTGTTGGGTCTTCGTTGCTGCGCGCAGGCTTTCTCTAGTTGCGGTGAGTGGGGGCTACTCTTCGCTGCCGTGCACGGGCTTCTCATTGCGGTGGCATCTCTTGTTGTGGAGCACGGGCTCTAGGTGCATGGGCTTTAGTAGTTGTGGCTCGTCAGGCCCTAGAGCTCAGGCTCAGTAGTTGTGGCGCACTGGCTTAGTTGCTCCGCGGCATGTGGGATCTTCCGGGACCAGGGATCGAACCTGTGTCCCCGCTTAGGCAGGCGGATTCTGTACCACCAGGGGAGTTCCAAGAGGTGACATTTTGTTCTTTGGTATTTCATTGGCATTATGACAGGTGTTTCCCTCACGTGCTTCTATATTTTGTGTACCTACCCCTAACAGCTGCATCTTAATTAATCCTGGGCACATTCTATAATTTATGGACCGTTTCTCTGTTGTTGACGGTGAAGTGGGTTGGCCAGGAGGCCCCTACAAAGGCAGAAGACACAGATCATTCCGGGAGGCGGAGCCAGGAAGACCCTAAGCGAGGCCGCGAGGATGGGGCCGCCGGTTTCACACACTTGGCCATTTTTCTGTGGCTAACCGTATTGGGCGTTGAGCGGAAGCAGCGAGATCTCCGGGCTCAGGAAGGGCGCGCGGGTCCTAAGGTGGGGCGCGGGCGCGTGGCGCCACCGTTCGTGGCCAGGCCGGGCTCCGAGATGGCCTCCCAGCCCCCGGGCGCCCCCAGCTCCGCAAAAGCCCTGGACCAGGACGGGAAGACAGCGCTCCGGAGAAGTAACGTGCAGCTGTCCTCGCTCCACATCCGCGACGGTGCGCATCGGCCCCGCAAGCTGCCCTGGGTAGCCCTGGTCAGGGCCTGCGGCCGCTTCAAGCTCTTGCTCTTGGAGGCGCGGCGGGGCCGGCTGCTGTCCTCGCTTAACCCCCTGGCCGTGGGCAATGACTTGCCACCGCCGAAGAAGCACTGGATGCCTGAGAAGGCAGCGTTCTGGGGCGACCAGGAACCCCTCTCCAAGGTCAGAACCGCCCCCAGGGGGAGGGGGTGTGGCTTGTTCCCAACAGGTGCGGAGAGCTCAAGAGCCGGCAAGGGGGCCTGGGAGGGAGCCATCTGGCTTGCTAGGCCTGGGCCCAGCCCCCTGCCCCAGGCACACCTAGTGGGCAGAGTGACTGCCGGGGGGCGGGGGCAGCTGGAGGAGAGGCTGGGTGGCCCAGGGAAACCATCCTGGGGGAGGGGAACCCTACCCAACTGAGACCCTGTGGGCTCCGGCTGAGCCTCCCAAATGTCCCCATGGTGACACTCCCAAGTGCATGCCTGGGGTCAGTGAGGGAGCCCTGTCACCCACGAAACAGCACTAGAAGCAACAGAAAACTTAGAAGAATAATAATACAGAAATAAAACCCCCCAAACACTACTTAGTATTCTAAATGATATTTGAGAGACAATGCATTGATGAAAAGAAGGCCGGTGGCTGGGAAGAAGAAATAATCTGTGAACAGAGAGAAGTCTTGGGGATGAAAAAGAGGATTTCCAGACGAAGATCCTCCATGGAGGCTTTCAAATCAGAGCAGAGAACTGGAACCGAAAATTAGAAAACAAGCTCGTGGGATTCTCTGAGAACTCAGAGAAAAAATATAAAGGAACAATAATTATGAGAGAAAAGAGAAGAGGAAGGCAGGGGAGATGCAGAAGAGCCAGTAAATGTATGAGGTATTGGGGTGGGGGGAGGGGGCAGGAGGAGGAAAGAAATGCAGAAGGGAACAGTGAAACCTCCCTGGGCCGAAGAAAGACTGGAGCGCTCATGTGGAAAGACATAGTCAAGGCTTCCCTGGTGGCGCAGTGGTTGAGAGTCTGCCTGCCGATGCAGGGGACGCGGGTTCGTGCCCCAATCCGGGAAGATCCCACATGCCGCGGAACGGCTGGGCGCGTGAGCCATCGCCGCTGAGCCTGCGCGTCCGGAGCCTGTGCTCCGCAACGGGAGAGGTCACAGCAGCGAGAGGCCCGCGTACCGCAAAAAAAAAAAAAAAAAAGAAAAGACATAGTCAAGTTCACTGCAAGATTGGAGTGAAATAAAACCTACAAGTGGTGAATGCCTGCACTGCAAGGATAGGAGCAAGGCTGTCCCTTTTCCAATGCAGATGGAAAAGCCTGCGATCAGGCTGAGATGGAGGCTTCTCCAGCTGTCAGAGGACCTCAGAGCTGAGTCCACAACTGGGCCTGCCGAATGGCTGACTGTCTCGGCCAGGCCACCACAGGGGTGCATTGGGGTCTCCATGCGGAAGTCTGTTGGAAGAGAAAGCAGTGTGTGCCAGTGCTTTCCTTGCTTTTATTTGTGACAGTTATTCTGATTTTTAAGTAAAATTAAAGGAGAGCATAGGAGTTGTATTTTATTTCTGTTCTCCATAGAATACCCCCAAGATCCAAATTCAATAGATAAAAAAGGTTTGTGGGCATTTTTTGTTTTTACAATTGTCTCCCCATGGACATAGTGTGTTCTCTATGTGGTTGCCAAGGGGGAGGGAGGGTGGGGGAGGGATGGATTTGGGATTATATATAGAAATGAATCACTTTGCTGTACACCAGAAACTAACACTGTAAATCAACTATACTTCAATAAAATAAATTTTTAAAAAGAGTCTCCCTAGCACCCCCCCCCCAACTACCCTCTTTCCCTCTATGGAGGCAACAAATGTTTCTAGTTTCCTCTGCATCCTTACAGAGATATTTTATGCACATACCAGCACATACATGTATATTCTGACCCCTCTGTTTTTTTTACATAAATGGAAGCATACCTTAGACCTCTTCTGCACCTAGTTTTTAAACTTTTTTAAAATTTATTTTAGAGATCTTTCCATATTTAAAAAAATATATATATTTATTTATTTTGGCTGCACGGGGTTTTAGTTGCGGCATGCAGGATCTTAGTTGTGGTAGGCATGCGGGATCTAGTTCCCCCGACCAGGGATCGAACCTGAACCCAGGCCGCCTACGTTGGGAGCGCGGAGTCTTACCCACTGGACCACCAGGGAAGTCTCGAGGTCTCTCCATATTAGTAAGGAAACAGCTTCCTTGTTCTTTTTTTGTGGCGAGTATTCCATTGGCTGGCTGCCCCCTGATGGATTTAACCAGTCTTGGGTGCATGCACATTCTGGTGGCTTAAGATTTTTTTTGGCCTGGGGTTTTTATGATCCATTAGGTTAACAGAAGTTGAGAAGTTATATAAAGCTCTGGGATAAAAGTATTCTTTTCTGTGGTGGACTGGCCGAGACAGCCATTCGACAGGCCCAGTATATAGAGAAAAGTATACGTAAAGTATTCTCTGCCTGGCCAAACTGTCGGTCCCTGACAAAGCCAACAAAAGGACATTTTCTTCAGAGCTGCAAAAACTCAGAAAGGATGCCTCTCTTTGAGGAAAAAGTTACTCAAGGGAATACTGTGGCAAACAACAAAAAGTCAGAATTAAGAACTGGAGTAAGAAAAAGCGGCTTAGAATAAACGGGGGAGCAGTGACTGAAAACGGTACACCTTGGACGTGTTTATACAGCAAGGTTAATGCAGTTGTTTAGCTCAGTGAAAATGTTAAGTTATCTTTTGAAGTGAAGGTTCACAATGCAAGAATAATAATGTTCCAGGTGATTTCATCCAACAATCCGAGATGGTTTGCTAAAGAACATTCTCAATGATAATTCTTGTTTTTTTTTTTTTTTTTTTGGTACGCGGCCTCTCACTGTTGTGGCCTCTCCCATTGCGGAGCACAGGCTCCGGACGCGCAGGCTCAGCGGCCGTGGCTCACAGGCCCAGCCGCTCCGCGGCATGTGGGATCTTCCCGGACCGGGGCACGAACCCGCGTCCCCTGCATCGGCAGGCGGACTCTCAACCACTGCGCCACCAGGGAAGCCCCTCAATGATAATTCTTCATTCTTGGCCTTTAAACAAGGCACATTCACACATGGATGTGTCACAAATTTTAAAAATAATTGGCTCAAAACCTCTCCTTGGCTCCCTGGCACATTTAAGAGGAAGTCAGGAGATCTGACCATGACCTTCCAAGCCATTTCGGCTCTACCTCATCTCTCTCTTCTTCCATCTGACTTGCTGACGTTCAAGCCCGTCTGTCCGGCCTCCGGTGTCCTCGTTTTGTCCCCCTCCCCCAGAGGGGGCGGACGTCTCTCCCTGCCCTCGGTCTAAAGCAGCGCTCACCTGGCTCTGGCCCTAACCTGGCATCGCGTGCCGCCTGTGCAGTGGCTGCCCCATCTCCCACCCTGGCCCCTGGGAGCAGGAGCCCGCCAAGCGCACTCCTGGTCTGGGGTCTTTGCTCCCCGGTTCCTGCTGCACCGCGGCACCGCGATCAAGGCCCGGTCAGGGAGGCGCAGGCAGATTTGTAGAACGCTACATATACCTAAACAAGAGCTCACATGTTTTGCTTTTACAAACATCGGACTGTCTTCTATATGCTAGTTTTGTTAGGGCCTCGGACAATGTACCTAGAGTACCAGAGTGTGGAACTTCTCTGCGTGGCTCCTGGGGCTCCCTCTCCATAATGCACCCCAAAAGTACTCTGCCCAGAAAGGTCCGGAAGGGGGTGGAGGGATTTCCCCGCTCTTGATGTTTTCCCATACCAAAGTTCTGTTTTTGTGATGAGAAAAAGAACGAAGCCCCGAGAGCTATGCCTCGAGGCAGAGACAGCTGCAGAGCAGGGAACTGAGGATCGGCTGTCTCGACCCCAAGGCGCAGGCTTTGGTGGTGGAGCCTGGAGCAGACCACTGACCGGGTCTCGTCCTGGGCCCCGCAATCGGCCTGGGCTGCTGACAGCCTGCATTCCAGGCCCCGCCCCCTGACCCGCCCCCCCGCCCCGCGCCTGCCAGGCCCCGCCCCCTGACCCGCCCCACGCCCGCCGCCTGGCTCGGTTTGCCTGCGTCCCCTGGCGGCCCAGCCCCGACCTGGCGCCTCGCATCTGGTCTGCTGGCGGCCCAGTTCCTGTCCCACCTCTCCCAGCTACCCAGAGCCGAAGGGCCGTCTCACTCCCGCCTTCCCACAGCCCCGTGTTCCCCACAACCCCGAAACCGCTCCCCTACCCTAGACCCCCGCCTCCCCTCATCCCTGCACCTCGGACTTTACTCGCCTCACGCCAACCTTGTCCCCCCATACTGGCGGCAGAGCCTCAGATCCCTCCTCCCAGCGCTGTCAACTTAAAGAAAAATGCACAGTGTAAAGTTACCAGTTCACTTTTATTCCTGGACCTTACTGCAGACTGTAGCATGGGAGACAACCTCTCGGATAGCTCTGAGGGACGGCTCCAGAGAGGTAAGGGAGGAGCCAGGGTATATGAACATTTTGCTGGGAAAAACATGCAGTCAAGCATAGAAAGCTTACTGTTGATCACAAAGAACAGACATCCCAAGTTAATGATTTTAGTGCTTTTCTGTGTATGGGAAGAAGATGGAAAAACTGGGATCATTTAAATGTTCCTTAAATACGCGTCTTAACCATGTAGGAGCTGGTGTACCCAAAGCACAGAATGCTTCCTGTTTTTCTCTGTCTTGAATTCCCCTCAGGTGCACTGTCTGTGGGCCACTGCAGTGGCTAATGGGTTGGTCTTTGTAGAACTGGAAGAGCAGGCAACATTTTTTTTCTTTGCAGTACCCCTACATCCTGGACACCTCCCTACCCCCTGTGCTGATATTAGTAATTTGTGTTCTCTCTCTTTTTTTCTTAGCCTGGCTAGAGGCTTATCAATTTTATTGATCTTTTTAAAGAGTCAGCTTTTGTATTAATTGATTTTCTCTATTGATTTCCTGTTTCCAATTTCACTGAGTTATGCTGCAATTCCTAGTATTTTTTTTCTCCTACTTCTTTTGGATTTAATTTGCTCTTCTTTTTCTGTTTTCTTAAGGTGGAAGTTTATATGATTGATTTTAGATTTTCCTTCTTTTTTCATGTATGCATTCAATGCTATAAATTTCCCTTTAAGCACTACTTTCACTGCATCCCACAAAGTTTGGTAAGTTGTATTTT